TTTTGGCAGAAATGTGGATAAAAGTGATTTAATTTAAAGCAAGGGAAAACGTTGAAGTCTCAAGAAGAACTAAGTACTTGTGTCAACAAGTAAATCAACGCTAAATCAAGCCGTCCTATGGAAAGCTTCAGTTATCAAGATTACAGAAAGAATTTGTGCCTTTCTGAAAAAAAAAAAAATTGCGATGGGATTACACTGTCAACGCTCTATAATTGCCCTTTGAACTTTTAGAGCTAGGATGCTATTTCTGGTCATTTTTGAGAGGAAGAGAAGACAGAAACTGCACAGTTCTTTTATTGCTACACCGGGCACCACGGTAGTTGATCGTCGTTGCCCGAACTGATAATAATTCTCAGCCCTATCTGTCTCTTTGTTCCATCTCGCATTATCGTCTCTTTTTCGACGGAATAGTCTGTTTTGACCGTTTTCATTCAGTGTCTAGTTAAGACAATAAACATTTGCAATTTTTTTTTCCCGCCAAATTTACATTCGGTTCTACAATGGTTCCGCTTGACTTGTGATACCCTCTGAAATGAAAACAACTTGAACACTTTTCGATCTAAGAATTATTGCTATTGTTCTCGCAGATTTTCCTTCATGCTGTTGAAAAACGAAAAGCTTGCGCTCAGAAAACGGCAAGGGGCAAATGAAAATACGATATTGTTTTACACACGTTCGAACTTTGAGACTTTCGAAAAGGTCGCCGATCAGCGGTTGCTGTCCACCAAGGTTGTTTTCCAAGATGGCGGGTACTGGAGAGTTCAAGGACTTTGGGCCTTTAGTTGGAGCGATCGATCAAGGAACTTCTAGTAGCAGGTTCTTGGTAAGTAGAAAATGTATTTTAAGAAATGGCTGTGTTTAACGTTTTGTAATATAGGTGCTCTATTTCTGTGATCGGATCGCATCTTGGTCCGAATTCGAGACGATGGGTGTAACACGATACAAAATGTACACAGTCTCCAGGTTATTCCAGTGATCGTTGAGCTGGCTGGAGAAAGAAATCGGAACACTTTGTTCTCTAGAAGTTCATCACTAACACAGAGCGTGAGATCATGAGGAAAAAATTACATTGTTGTGGACTGATTGTAACAATGCATTTGCTTTGCCCCCCTGCCGAGAACACATTCTTTGCCGAGTCGCTAAAGAATTTGATTGATAATGTGCTTTAATGAAGGCTCATAACGAAAAACTTTAGTTAACTTCATTGATTTCATTATTTACACCTTTGCTTATTTCTTTATCATAAATATATGCTACTTTTTGTATCCATCATATGACCTGTACATGACAAATGTATCTGACAACATAAAAATTCTCCTTAGAATTGCTAACCAATGCAAGTGGAAGAATGCAGTTATTTAAACAGTTACTTAAACAGTTATTTAAAATGGAGTGAGTAAGCAGTACTTTGTTGGAGCTCAGACATTGAAACTGTTATTGGGCCTTTTTACTTTGTTTTCAGCTTTTTGCCAGTAAGACTGCTGAGCTGCTTGCTTTTCACCAAATTGAGGTGAACAGTGTTTATCCAAGAGAAGGGTAGGTTATTTTCAACGGGAGAGTATAAAACACAAACTGGCAAAATGACAAAATGGCACTAAGGTTATCCCTGTGCTCCAATTAATTAACTCAAATAGCGCTGAGGTTAGCCTAAAATCACTGACTTAAGAGCAGTTAGCTCTCAGTAATTGTAAGGGTTAACATTTAAAGTCACCGATATCCCACATTGACTCTTACCCGTCGCATCATTTCATCATTTCGTGTACTAAACATGCCCATTGTCAACATCGTCTTGACATTGCTGTTTGAGGATTTAATTCGAATGGTAACTCTGAGACATCATTTCTTTAAGTCCTAGATCCAGTCTAAGCTTGTGTATGTTTGTCATAGATGGGTGGAGCAAGATCCAAAGGAGATTCTGTCATCTGTGTATCACTGCATGGAACAGACACTGAACAGCTGTAAAGACTTGAAAATCAACCCAGCTGATATTAAAGGTAGATGAATAGCATGCATTTACTACATGACTAAGTTCAGAGTGCCAAGAACTAAAATCAACCAAACAGATTGTTCTCTAAGTATTGGACTAGACACTGTCCCAAATGATTTTGCAAGACTGCTTTTGAAGATTTTCAGGTAGTTTCAGTCAGGTAATAAATCTGTTATTGACCAAGCTTGCTCAGGACCGTACTGGGAGAACATCGGCCCTTGGTCTTTTTTTTAAAGCCAATATTCTCCCAGTACAGCCCTTGCACTTGGTTAATAAGATATATTTTTCAAATGAATCTTCCTGATATCCTTTGCTCCTAAACTTTGAATGAGAGAGATGGGGCTACACATACCACCCATATCTAAAAGTGATTATTTAACATTTTTTGTGTATTTTATTTTTTTCACAGCCGTTGGAATCACAAATCAGAGGGAAACAACAGTTGTTTGGGACAAGCTTACCGGGGAACCACTGCACAATGCTATAAGTAATTTTCTGATCCTTTCTGATTAAATTGTTGTTCTTTCAAAAATTCTTTTAGATAGTTGATAGCCATACTTTTACAGTTTCAATGTTAACTTGTATATGTGTATGTTCAATTTTGTAGTTTGGCTGGACACTAGGACAAAATCAACAGTGGATCATTTTGAAGCCACAACTACGGAGAAAACAAGAGAGCATGTCAGAGTAAGTTTCATTTAGAAAATCAACTCTTAGGGGTTTCTCTCCTTTTAGTGTTGTTAGGTGGCCTCTTCGGGTAGAGTGCCATTCACTCACAGGTTAACAGATTACCATAACAAGGGTAGTGTGCTGAGGAATATTTTTGAATTCTCAATTTGCCAGATGTGCATCTAATTTTCATTTTTTTTTCCATCTAATTCATACATGTTACAAATTAACTTTTTTAAGGTAGGCACCATGCATTGCACTTGCCCTCAACACCAGTCACTGCTTGGTCTTCATATTCGAGTGCAAGTTACCATAATTAACTTTTGCAAACGTTTTGTTGTTGTGTATCAAAATTATTGGTTGGTCAAGGCAAATCAGAGTCAATTGTCTTCATCAAGTGTATATTCATATTTATAGAGATTTTAGATTGATCACTGTTTGCAAATGGTCCCCAAATGGTCTAAAACTCTTCATTTTTCATAGGCATTATGTGGTCTCCCCATCAATACCTACTTCAGTGCAGTGAAGTTAAGATGGCTGCTTGACAATTGCGAGGCTGTGAAAAAGGCAGTAGAAGAAGATCGGTGTCTATTTGGAACTGTAGACTCATGGCTGATCTGGGTATTGAATGTTCATAACATGTTATTAATTTTCTTTACTTTGTCGTTTTAACAAACCATGCAACATGTTGGATGAATATTTAACACAAGAGGAGATTGTAGACAGAATTTGAGGCTACGTTTCTTAACAAACTAGTTGGGCCTCAGGCAGTCACATGTCAGAATTTACTAGCCAACAAAATTTATCAAAAATGGCGCATTGAAACTCATAAAACTGTTGACATCAGAGAAGTTAACCAAAATAAATTTGCAGTGTCAACTTTCATGTAATTCCCACTGTGTTCAGCTGTTTTTCACTAACCAAAGAGGTTGGGCAGCGGTAGAAATATAAAACTTACCAGCCATTTGTGAATTTTTATCTGTCTGTGGCTACTTGGCTCTGTAGTCCTGGTAAATTTCAACCAAAGGCAAGATATTTAGTTCAGCTATTTCAAGCTCAATTCAAATACTTGTTTAATTGTTTGAGAAGAACACTGCCTTCCTCTCAGGAAATTGACGTTATGATAGTGACAAGATATTAAATGATCAAGAATATTTTGAAAGTGATTAATTGCTCACAAGAATTTGTTATTCTGTATACTTCAGAACATGACAGGTGGCTCAAAAGGGGGCTTACATATCACAGACATCACAAATGCCTCACGAACAATGTTCCTCAACCTTAAAACACAAGCTTGGGATCCATACTTGTGCAAGTAAGCTTAACATTTTGTATCTGCTGAAAAGTCTTTCAGACACCAGAGACAATACCATACATGCACACCAATACAAGGAAGAAGTGCAAACAATTTTTGGTCTGGTAATGGTCTCATACACTTGGCCTGCAATTCACATATTTAAATGGTTGAAGGTCATAGTTCTCTTTAATTTCCAGTTCTCAACAGACCAGAAAAAGAATAAATGAACAAACAAAGTATCACTGTGGGAAGTTTAAAAATTTCCATTTTATTTCCCCTTCACCTTCCATCTTGCAGCTATCTCACCAGTACAAATGTGGTCACTTCACTTAAAGGAATGTCACCAGCTGAATTAACTCACTTCATAGAACCACTTGTACAGTATTCCAAGGAGAATTAGTTGCATTTTAGGGATTTAATTGCACCATTGTTAGTTAAGACTAGAAGACACTAGTAAGAGCATATCTTGTAATGAAAAGAGAAAAAAGTTATGCTGAGAGATTTTCTTGTGAATGTTGATAATAAATAGAGTAAAATTGATATTTTATTTTGTTTTCAGATTCTTCAATATACCTATGTCAGTTTTACCAACTGTGAGAAGTTCCGCAGAAATATACGGGAAACTGGTGAGACATGCATCAATGTAGTAAAAACTCCTTTCTTTTAATATTGCAAGGCATTTACTGAGTCGGGTCTCCAGAATAACTCTTTAAATACATCATACTAGATTTCAGTGTCAGACAGACATTTTATCTTTAAAGTGTCATGTCAGATATTACTTGCCAAAGTCAGATTTTCTGCTCATCAGGTTTTTGATAACCTAAGACTACTGTATTTTATTTAGCTATAAGCCCAGCTTGTCCATGAGCCAAGACCGTAAACTTATGAGACATGAAAATGGGCAAAAACTTTGGGAAAATAGTGGCAATGGGTCAAGACCAACTTTTCTTTAAAAAAAAGTTATTTTAATGAGTGTCCATTCAAGAAAGTGTTCCTCTAAGGAAACATGTTAAAAGTTATTGCAAGTTTTGTTCTGGCATGCCTCACTACAGCTCACAAGATCTGGCATTGAAACCATTACTATTGGATTGGTTAATTAATAAGGAATGGTGTCTGATCTTAACAAGAATGCCAGCTTTCCTTAGCATAGTCTGAAAACTTTGACGACCAGCTTACCTTTTAATTTCTTTCTATTAATTTTCAGGTAGAAGGTCCCCTCCTTGGAGTGCCAATATCAGGGGTATGTTACTTAAGAAATAGAAAACATGTACCGTGTTTCTATCGAGTTATAGAAACGTGAGTGGAAGTTTGGGAGAATGAGAAATGTTGTGGGAACACAAGCTGTAGGCGAGTGTTTCCACAGCTTTTTCGAGTTCTTCCAAACTTTCATGAGTGTTTCTATTAAACAATTAGATTATGAGCTCAAGATTTCTATTGTGTGATACACTGTAGTTGGCGAGGGCACAGCCTGAGTCAACCATTGCACTATAGAAATTGAGAACAAATAATCTAATTGTTTTAGTGTAAATCTATTAGTCGTTAAAAATAATACCGGTAATCTAAATCCTTTTCACAGACACTTCGAAAACACCAAGAAGCGGCCGTAATTTTGTTAACAAGGGCACACTGCTACACTACTCACTACTCACTACTCACTACTCACTCACTCCTTGTGATTTTAACCTTTTGTTCTGTAGATGGCTGATAAGAATATTAAGCTTTTAACAATTAAATGGTCAACTAGGGGATAGTCTTGATCAGTGTACAACGAAAACAAATTACTCGGTAAAGGCAAAATCTATCAGTCAATTTTGAGAATTCAGAATATCATTAACAGGGACCCCTCAAAACTTATTAAGAGCCAAATTCTTCTGGATAGAATAAAGAAAATGTGTTGAAATGACAAATTATAAAATTGTTTAAGCTGATGTTATAACTAAAACAGTACAACTGGTTGACTATAGTGTCTTGGTGACCAGCAAGCAGCATTGGTGGGACAGCTGTGCTTCAACCAGGGAGATGCTAAAAACACGTAAGTACAGTATAGGTTTTTTCCTGTAGGACAGCTAAAAGTGTTTGTCCAGAAGATCACAACCCACTAGGTGTTACATAATGATAATAATAATATGATTTTTACCTCTTGGCCCCAGCCAGTTGACAGTTTTCCCTCTAAATAAAAGCAGTATTGTTTCAACAAATTGAGGCGTGTATCTTCCTGATATTGGTTAACAAAGAATGCTAGATAAAATTAAAATGGCTTTGGCACCAAGTGTTGCAGGTTCTATTAAATTTTTCCATCTAATGATATTCAAACTCAACTTGTATTTTCATTCGTGATAGTGATGCTTGGTGTGTTGAAATGTTGAACTATTAACATTAATTTTAATATGTTTTATTAAATTTTGCCATGTTTTTACTCCATGATCAGAATGATATATTTAACTACATTGCAGTTACAGGTAATGTAAAATTGTGTTGTATTGTGTTCAACATGCAGATATGGCACTGGATGTTTTCTGTTGTACAATACAGGGAGTGAGGTATGATCTATACAACAACAATAATTGTATTGTTCCAGAAAATATCCATCCCCATCCTCAGAGTGTTTCTTGGTTTGAATGTTCCCACCCCTCTAGAAATATCATTTTAGCTTTGTCCTTTCCTTTAAAGATTTTGGCCTTTGAAACCCTGCTCCTCCTTGGAATTTCCAATACCTTTCCTTGGGGTGGGTATGG